CAGAAAGACATTTAGTCACAAAGGAAGAATTTGATAGGAATGTAGATCCCAGGATTTCCAGTGTGTCATCCTTAGCATTTGGTAGCTTTTTCACTGTAGGTTGTTGTCCACAGATCTTTAGCCAATATAAATTTATTAAATGCCTCTATGTATTAGATCCTGATTCAGCTTGCCTTGGAATTTTGACTTATTTAAAGTTTAGTCCAGTCCCTACTTGAGTATAAGAAAATAAGGTCTGGGACACCTTACACCTTTGACGAGGAGACGATACAAAGGGAGTTATTGTAAACAAAGAGCAAGACAAAATTTCTTATTTTTTTTTAAGTTACTGACAGTCGTGCCTGATTTTAGTGGTTCCTACTTTCTTTCTTCTTTTTTTAGATCCTTCTGACATTTTTATAATACTTATTTAGTAAGATGAATGTCTTTAGCTTTTTCTTACCTAGGTAACTATCTCTGCTTCAGTTCTAAATGATAGCCTTGCTGAGTAGTATAATCTTAATTGTATGTATTTGCTTTTCATTACATTGAATGTTGTGCCAATACCTTCTGGCCTGCATAGTTTCTGTTGAGAAATCAGCCTCTGTCTTATGGCAGCTCCCTGGTACGTATCTAATTTCTTGTCTCTTACTACTTTTAAGATCCTTTTTTGTTTTTCACCTTTGCCATTTTAATTATAATAGGTGTTGGTGTAAGCCTCTTTGGATACACCTTGTTTGGGGCTCTCTGTGCATCCTTGACTTATGTCTATCTTCTAATTTAGGACAGGAGGTGTTCAAGACATTATTTCTTAAAAAAAAACTTTTAATCCGTTGTTTTCTTCTCTTTCTGGTACTCCTATGATGTTTGATGTTGTCTCTGGGGTCCCTGAAACTCTTATGTTTTTATTTTCTTTCTCTTTTGGATTTGGTTCTTTTTACTACCTTGTTTTTCAAATCTCTGATTTGATCCAGTGCTTCTTCTAATCTGATGTTGATTCCTTTTAATGTATGTTTAATTACTTTATTGTTGTTCAATTACAGTTGTCTGCATTTTCTCTCCACCACTCTCCCCAACCCCAGCCAAACCCACCTCCCTTGCTTGCTTCCACCCTCCCCCTTGGTGTGGTCCATGTGTCCTTTATAGTAGTTCCTGAAGATACTTGCCCTCACTGTCTCCTCCCTCCCCTCTGGCTATTAGATTGTTCTTAATTTCAATGTCTCTGGTTATATTTTGTTTGGTTCTTTCCTTTGTTGATTATGTTCCAGTTAAAGGTGAGATCATATGGTATTTGTCTTTTTTCCCCTGGATTATTTCACTTAGCATAATGCTCTCTATTTCCATCCATGCTGTCACAAAGGATAGGAGCTCCTTCTTTCTCTCTGCTGTGTAGAATTCCATTGTGTAAATGTTCCATACTTTTTTGACCCACTCATTTGCTGATGGGCACTTAGGTTGCTTCCAGCACTTGGCTATTGTAAATTGTGCTGCTATGAAAATTGGGGTGCATAGGTTCTTTTGGATTGGTGTTTCAGGGCTCTTAGGGTATCATCCCAGCAGTGGAATTGTTAAGTCAAAAGGCAGTTCCATTTTTAGTTTTCTGAGGAAATTCCATACTGTTTTCCACAGTGGCTACACCAGCCTGCATTCCCAGCAACAGTGCACTAGGGTTCTCTTCTCTCTGCATCCTCTCCAACACTTGTTTGTTGATTTGTTTATGATGGCCATTCTGACTGGTGTGAGGTGGTATCTCATCATGGTTTTGATTCACATCTCTCTGATGGCTACTCATGCTGAGCATCTTTTCGTATGTCTCTGAGCCCTCTGTATGTCCTCCTTGGAGAAGTGTCTACTCAAGTCTTTTGTCCATTTTTAAATTGGGCTTTTTATCTTCCTGGAGTGGAGTCATGTGAGTTCTTTATATAATTTGGAGATCAAACCCTTGTCCCAGGTATCATTGGCAAATGTTTTCCCATGCAGTTGGTTCTCTTTTCATTTTAATGCTGTTTTTTAGCCATGCAGAAGCTTTTTAATTTGATGAGGTCCCATTTGTTTATTCTTTCCTTCATGCCCCTTGCTTTAGGGGATATTATCAGTGAAGATGCTGTTATATGGAATGACTCAGTTTTTCCTGCCAATGTTCTCCTCTAGGACTTTTATTATGTCACAACTTATATTTAAGTCTTTTATCCACCTTGAACTTATTTTTGCATATGGTGTAAGTTTGTGATCAAGTTTCATTTTTTTGCATGTAGCTATCCAGCTCTCCCAACACCATTTATTGAAGAGGCTATTTTTACTCCATTTTATGCTTCTGCCCCCTTTGTTGAATATTACTTGACCATAGAGACATGGTTTATTTTGGAGTTCTCTACGCTGTTCCATTGGTCTATGTGCCTGTTTTTATGCCGGTACTAGGCTGTTTTGATTACAGTGGCCTCCTACTTTCAACTTATAGCTAAACAAGTTCTCAGTTCTAGCTCATGAATGGGAGAGGGTTCTGGGATTTCCTTGTTGAGAATTAGGTCATATCTCTTCTTCAAGGAGGAATTCTGGTTCATTTATATGAAACTAACCTTTTTAAAATATGAAACTAATTCTTATAGGGGACCCTAACCATCACAGTTTGCTTTAACATCTTTATCTTCTGCCCAGTCCTCTCTCACATTTAATTTTGTATCTGCCTTAAATGTAATTTGATGTGCTGCATGGTTTACTCTGCATGACAAGTGTTTAGAAAAATCATTGCTTTCCTTAGGGCTTTTTTCACCTCCTTGTTTCTAATTGTATAAATAAAAGGAATCAGAAGGGGTGTGAGGATAATATTTAGCACTGATACCACCTTATTCGAGGAGTGTACTGTGGGTCTCAGATACATGAACAAAACTGCTCCATAGACAGAGAGGCAACTCCCAAGTGAGAGGCACTAGTGGAGAACACCTTCTGGGGGCCAGCGGCTCAGGGAGTCTGTAGGGTGGCAGAGGAATAGAGGCCTAGGAAATCACAGTGCGGAGCAGTGGCCCTGAAATCACCAGGACAGTGGCCAAGAAACCCAGAAGCTCCAACATGCCTGTGTCTTCCCAAGCTGCTTTCAAGATGAGACCGACATCACGGGAGAAATGATTGATGCCATTGTTGCCACAGAATGGCAACCGGATGAGCTGCATCATCTGCCAGAAAACAAGGGTGAAGCCCAACACCCAGGAACCCAGGCCAGCTGCGGGCAGACGATGCCGGTCAATGCGGTGGGGTAGCAAAGAGGCTTTCAGATGGCCAGGTAATGGGGAAAAGACATGAGAGAGAGAAGAAAGAACTCAGTGGTGCCAGAAAAAGTGAAAGAAATCAGCAGGATGTGCAGCTCGCTGCTCTCACCACCAAAAAGGTGTCTAGTAGTTCAGGGGTGGCTGTGGAGTACCTGATCTGTAGGAAGGACAAGTTGCAAAGGGAGGAGTCCACTAAAATTTGTAGCCTGGGCTGAGTCCCAAAAATGGCAATAGTGAGCCCACTGCCTGCAAGAGTTAACGCAGAGAAGAGAAAGTTCAGGGGGAAGAGAGGGGCTGGTAGTCCCTGGACACCAGGGAAGCCCGGCAGGATAAACCCCATGATTGCCCTGCCATTTCTCATGTTCCTGGATATTCTAGAAAAACAGGCAAAAAGTAGCACCTTAGAATCTCACGCTCAAATGCAGTTTAAACCTCTCCTCCCCTGCTCCACCCCCCCCAACCCTGCAAAAAAAAAAAAAAAAAAAAGGAAAAGAAGAAGGATTCTGATTATTCTATTTAAGGTCCTTCAGGACACCCTGCCTCCTTCACACACGTGTGCACGGAGCAAGCACCGCCTCCAGACCAGTGATTTGGCTCATTCTCGTGCTGGCTTTTAATGGACTTAAAAGTACTAAGTACACTTTATGAGTGGAAAACTACTTTTCCACACTTGTACAGCAAAGAGAATTATCCTTGTAATGTGATGGTTTAGCTGTCAAGAATCCATAAGATTGCCCTGGCTGGTGTAGCTCAGTAGATTGAGCCAGGGCCTTCAAACCAAAGGATCGTGGTTCGATTCCCAGTCAGGGCACATGCCTGGGTTGCAGGCCAGTTCCCAGCAGGGGACACACAAAAAGGCAACCATATATTGATATTTCTCTCCCTCTCTCCTTCCCTTCCCCTCTAAAGATAAATAAATACAATATTTTTTAAAAAGAACCCATCAGATCATTTAAAATAAACAGTGTCTTTTAACGGTATACACTACGTAAGCCCGGGTGTGGGTACTTAAGAAGTTAATCCACGCTCTAATATTCTGAAAGAAAATTCTTGACTATACATATATTTTAAAAGGTGATTTTTGTCCACACGTGTATGTGTCTATGTAAGTAAAAACCACTTGTTATATATTAGCAGTGAGATATTTTAGATGCTAAAACAGATGCCACCTGGAGCGTGGTGACTTTGGGACAGAGAGAGTGGGTAAAAGGGGAAATGGCAGGTACAGGCAGAAATGCTGCTGACCCAGACAAAAACGAGCAAGTGCCCAAAGGAAAATAGAACAACGTTATCATAACGCTTCTCTTACTCAGCTCCCAAGCACTGGCATTTAATCAGAGCAACGGTATTGCTACGCCCGTTTCAGAGAACGGACACAGAGTTGCAGAGAGCCGCCCCGTAGCTGAAGGTAAATGCAAGGGCCAGTGTCAAACCCCAAACCGCTCTCTTCCCCCGCGCTTCGTTGACAATTCAAAGGGGAAAAAGATCAAGAGAAACGATTACAGGTACAGGCATCACAAATAAAACAAACAAAAGATCAAAAACAGCAAAGCAAAAAGGAAGCAAGAGAAGTGCGGAGGTGCGGACGGATGCGGTCTGACCCGAGCCTTTTTCCACCAAGTCTGTGGTCGCTCCGAGACTCAACTCACGCTGGGAACATAGAGTGAACCAAACCTCCCAGTGCCTAGAAGGGCTTCAGCGTAGCGAGGAGGCGGAGCGGAAGGCAGCTTCCGGTTCCGAGTGCAAAGGCCCCACGTGTTCCGACCCGCCAGGCCCCGCGCGGCTCGGATTCGGTGGCGCTGCTCCGACTAGGAGTGGGTGGGCGAGAAGCCGGACGAGGCTGCTGCAAGAGCTGTTGGAGCTGTGAGTGCTGGCGGGCTGGGCCGGGCGGGATCCGCAGAGTGGGGCCGCGCAGGGCGGGGGACAGGGGGACAGGTGGAGAGGTCGGAGACCCGCCCCCCGGAGCTTGGGCAGATTGCTCTTTTCTGGGGTGAGGGCGGCAGCAGTGTGGTGAGGGACGCGAGGCGTCGTGGCCCTCACGTGCCTTGGAGGCCGGAGCTGCGAGCTCCGGGAATGCTGGTGGCGCACCCGACGGCTCTCTCTCCAGCCACCGCCCTCCGCCCCGCCAGAGGCCTGGAGAGAAGCCGTTCGTCCGTACCTCCCCGCTCTCCTGCGCCAGCTGGCCCCTCGGATTCGAGGGAGGAGTGATCTGGGCCCACTTCTCCCGGGGCTTGCTCATCCCGCCTCTCAGATTGTTCAGAAATCGTCCCCTTGTTCTCCCCGTCCGGACAAGTCCCGTCTCTGCCCCGCTAACCCCTCGCCTGACACACGCAGCACTACTCACCAGTGGTCTCGGAGGCCTTGGAGATGGCTGGCTTTTCACCGCCTCTGGGACAGACCCGAGTCTCGTTCGAGCCCGCGGCTGCTGTCTCCTCTTGCAGCCCTCCCGCCCCAACGCCTCCCCACGCGTGTTGGCACTTATTCCTAGTATCACAGTTAGCCTCCGCAGGACTGCGTGCGCCCTGCCTTGACTGAAAAGTTGGTTTGCATGCCGGGGGTATGCTGTGTTCTCACAGGTCTCAGCGCAGTTTTCATTTTTCTGGGCAGTAGATGTTAGTGTCCCTTGGGCGCTCTGGTGACCCTGTCACGGTTCCTGTACCGACATTCCCAGAGGTGGCTCCTAGCCTTAGCGTTCCTTCCACCACCTTGGTCTCCGGAGCAGTGCCACACCCAGGCTCTCGCTGGAAAGCTAGGCTGTGACCTGTTCCTCTTTCGCTGTCCACACTACAGGTGACCCCCAGGGGAGCCTCACTCAGAAGCTGCAAGGAATAGTAATGGAAACCCCACTTTCCAAGCCACCCCTTGCGTGCCCCTTGGTGCAGAAAGCTGCTTCGGACGCCAACCCACAGCTGTGGGAGGCCTGTTGTTAGGAAGTGTGACGGCAGAGCTGTTAGGGTTTGTGTCTTAAGTATCTTTCTGCACTCACCAGGTCGCACAAGATGGTGCCAGGTTTGGAGGGAGGAAGGGAATATACCCCAGGACCAGATACCTGAAGTTCAGACTCTTCACCCCTTTCTCCTCCAGCTACCCCTTTTACTCTTTCTCTGTACACTATATTGCAGCAGTCATTGCAAAGGTACAGCAAGGTTTACTACGGAGTGACAGACTCTTGGGCATTACAAATTATACAGGTGAGGTCTACAGCATGCTTTGCCCATTTAATTTGGCACAGGCATTAAACATAACAGTCCCAGACTCCTTACTTTTACAAAACTTCCTTTGAATTTGACTTGACACTGGAAAAGTTGGATCGTCTCTGCTTGAACCTCAGATTTACTTTCTAAAGCATTCCCTTGCTTTAGGTACTGGTTCTCACACTTACACATCTTAAGCACCTGAAGAGCTTGTTAAACACTGATTGCTGAGGCCATCCCCAGAGTTTCTGATAATAGGTCTGGGCTGGGTCTTGATAGTTAGCAGTTCTAACAAATTCTTAGCTACTGGTCTGGATTTCTCAGGCCAAGAACCGTGGCCTTTGTCCAGACTTCACCTAAACTGTGCGGTGGTTTACTTGTGGGTGAGTGCTTCTGTACTGGAAACTAGCAATATGATCATCTGTAGGTAACGTAACCACTTAGATCTGAATTCTTTCGTTTGTAGAATTAAGAAAGTGTACTTCAAAAAAACCTGCAGATGCTATATCATCTTATGCTAAATTGAAGGTTAAATATTGGTAAGTTTTTCCCTTAATTTTCTTACTTTTCTTGATTTTGTTTTGATCCTATACCTTATATCTGCATACTAGGTTCTGTTGGGAATCTCTAGTATGTAAAGTCCCTGCTATTTCTTAGCTATATGTTAAGTTTTTTAAGGTAAGAGCCTGAGCTTTTTTTCCATTTTTCTCTGCCTAGCACCATTAATTCTGTGGGACTCAAAACTGATGCTCAGTAGATATTTGGAATGAATAAACTCCATCCCCTTCCTGCCCCTTAAGCAAGTTTTTCTCCACTAATCCTGTGCAACATAGTAAACCAGTACAGGGCTATGCCACCTGATCAACCCAGGAGATTGAAATAAACCCTAAGGCCAAATGCTGGTAACTGTCCTTGGCATCCACTGATGATGAATTTCAGTTTCTGTGTCCAAGTTGGAAGAGAAATAGCTTAGTTAAATTCAGTGTACTTTTATTGAGCACCTTTTCTCCCAAGTGTTAGGCACTGGAAATAAAAATGAAGGAGGAGATCCTAGCCCGAAGGGGCAGAGATCACAGTGGGAGATTAAGATGCTAAGCAGAGTCCAAAGCACGAATGGCATCCGGGACTTCTGCTTTGGACAACGTTTAGTCTGCAGTGGAAACCTGATACTTCTCAGATTCCTTTATCATCATCTGTGTGCTGGAGCCTTGGGCAAAGCCAGAGGAAATCACCATTACAAAACTAAAAATCCAATGAGTGACTTTTGAATAGACTGTTCTGAATCTTCCATACTTACACCTATGTGAAGCTGTATTTATAATATCCTGTTATTTTTTTTTGTACAAATTAATTTTATTTAGTTATTTTTCCTGTTATTTTTTTTTTAGTCAAGCAATTGTTCTTCTGTGTGGTTGGCATTGACCATGTTCATGGTAGTGATTCATTTATACAGCTAGTTTAACTCTGGCTGCTCGGTGAAAGCAGCTGCCATCAAGATCGCAGTCAAGTTCCTTGACAGCCCTTTTCCCTCCTTCACATTAGGTTGGCTTCTCTTTTAACCTGGAGCATATAGATGCCTGCTTTATGTAGACCATTAACTACCTCTGGGTAATAATCCATACACAAGGCTAAAAAGTCTAGCCTCATGTTGGAGATCAACCAATATGATCACAATGGCTGCATATTTCATTCTGGACTCAAAAATCTGTATTTGGCCTCTTACCTGCCTCAACTCCAAAATGCATCCTTGTCACCATCTGAGGCTAATTATCATGGTCCAGGCAGGTACGCAGTAAAGAAGACATACACACTTGTTTCTCTCAACACACCTCTTTCTTCACCTCAGAAAGCTGGGCGGTTTCTCAAACGGTTGTCCAGCTCTCTGCCTCTGAGGAGAAAATCATCCCCATTTTCAGGATGAGTTGATGTGACTTGTCCAGGATGACACACATTGAGGAAAGAAGAAGATGGGTCATCCACTTGGAAAGGCAAGACTATCAACTATTCAACCTCTGAACCTTCAGTACACTCCTACAGAAAACAGTTTAAGTAAAAAATAAAGTGAACTGTTATGATCTTACAGCTGTATTTTTCATGTTCACATTTATCCTCAATGACATCTTTATACTCATTTTATACTTTGACCCTGAAAGGTTTTCTTAGGCTCCACCAAGAAAGAAATGCCAATCAGCCACCAAGTCAGGCAATAAAGAGCTTTGTTGGGGTTTGTGCGCCCAGGCAAGATTCCTCTGTCCACAGAGTGGGGCCAGGGAAGTCTCACCCAAGCAGGGAATATGGTGGGTTTTATTTTGGTTGGCTGTCTTCATGGGAGCTGGGGATTGGTCCCCTTTGAACAAAGCGGCAATATATCATTGGTGGTTCTCCGGCTCAGGTTGCTATGAGGATATCCGTTTTAGCAAAGCCTGCCCGTTTGGCTCTCTGGTTTGACTTCAGCCATCTTTTATGGATTGTAGTCAGGCTGCCGTTTTATCCTACCCTGCCCATCCTGACAGACCCTAACCACAGAACTTCAGGGTGGAAAATATTTATAGCTTCACGTCCACCAGCTTTGCTGTACCCCCACTACTTACTTGGTCTCTTTAGCCTTCCTGTCCTGCCTTCTCTATACTACATGCTGTGTCTTAGAAACCTATTGCAGTAAGCTTTGAGCTGCTTCTTCCCATGCCCCTCAAATCTTTTATGTTGAATCTAATGAAGGAGAGAAACCTGTAAGGGCCAAAAATACTTTTTTTTTTTAAAGATTTTATTTATCTTTAGAGTGGAAGGGGGGAAGGAGAGAGGGAGAGAAACATCAATGTATGGCTGCCTTTTGTGCGTCCCCTGCTGGGAACCGGCCTGCAACCCAGGCATGTGCCCTGGCTGGAAATTGAACCACGGTCGTGTGGTTTGCAGGCCCGCACTCAATCCACTGAGCTACACCAGCCAGGGCAAAAAAAAACACTTTTAAAAATTATATTTTATGGATTATACTATTACTGTTGTCCCAACTTGCCTCCCTCCACCAAGCACTCCCCACTCCCTCAGGCAGTTCCCCACACCGTTATTCATGTCCGTGGGTCATACGTATAAGTTCTTCAACTACTCCATTTCCTATACTGTACTTCACATTCCCAAGGCTATTCTGTAACTGCCTGTTTGTACTAATTAAACCCCTCACTTCTTTGCCCATCCCCCACACCCCTCTCCAATCTGGTAACCATCAAAACACTCTCCGTATGCATGGTTGGGTTCTATGTTCTTATTTGCTTTGTTTTTTTGTTTCTTTTGTTTTTAAATTTTTTAATTTAAATTTATTTTTTTATTGATTATGCTGTTACAGTTGTTCTGTTCCCCCCTCATTCCCCTCCACCCTACCCCCCTGTCCTCACCATTACCCCCCCTTTAGTTTATGACTATGTGTCTCAAGTTCTCCAGATTCCACATTTCCCATACTATTCTTGCCCCCCCCCATCTATTTTCTATCTACTGTCTATGCTACTTATTTTCTGTACCTTCTCCCCCCTTCTCCTCCTCCCACTCACCCTCCATGTGATCTTCATTTCTATGTTTCCACTCCTGATCTATCTGTCCTTTTAGTTTGCTTTTGTTTTAGGTGTGGTTGTTAATAACTGTGAGTTTGTTGTCCTTTCACTGTTCATGTTTCTTTAA